GAAGAACCAGTCATATGAAAAGTTGAGCAGAAGCCACAATCCTGATCTGGGCAAGAGCTTGACATATTTGACAGACAGAAAGAAAGAAACTCAGTGAACCTGGAGTGGTATGAACAGAAGGGTGGTACCAATGAGGTTGGAGAGGTAGCCAGAGCTAGGTCATATAAAGAATTCAGATCTTACCCTAGGAAGCTGGTGATTGGTTTTAAGAAGGAAGTGATTTACCTCTTTTACATTTTAAGTGATTACTTTCATATCTTTTGACCTGATATTTTCATCTAGAGGAATTTCTCCACAAGAAAAATGTTTTACAGAGATATGCATAATGAGAATTTTCTATAGACAAAATATTGAAGAAAACCCCAAAATACAGTGAATGTGTAAGCAAAAAATGATTTAGAAATATATGGATTATATGGCTATTCAAAATGATAAGCATATGGATTACAAAAGCACACACAGCACACTAAAATAGGCATAAGAAATGAAGTCAAGCTAAAAAAATTTTTGACAGACCTATAATGTAAAAAATGATATCTCTAACATATTTTCACAGTTCTAAAATCTATCTACTCTGCCTTAACTATGCTCCAATGATGATATAAAACATATATCTTAAATTTAAACAAGGAATTCAAACAGCCATAAAAAGTAAGTACTTAACAAAGATTAGAAAAAAAAGGTATGTTTGGGGCTTAGTATTTATGGGAAATTTTGCCTTCTGTAAATTGCTTAAATCATAACAACAACACAATCAAGTGCTATCCTTTAACAATGAGAAATACTTCAATGAAGCCCATTTTCTCTATTTGTCCTTGACTGAATACAATGAGAAACTAACAGTGATCTTAGTTTTTTTCAAAAGAATGAGGATATGTAGCACATCATCAATCATTTTGTTTCACAGCACTGATTCTCCACAACTTTATAAAAGATTTTATTCAGTGCCTGAATTACTAAGAACTATTGTAAGGATATAGAAATAATTTTTAAATTGGTTATATTACCACAAATGGTAAAAAGACCAAATCCTGTTATTTCTGAGTTCATGCTCATCAAATTACTGAAAAATCTGATATAAAGGAGCACTGCTACACTTCCTCTTTACAGGAATTAGCATGTAAATTAAAATTAAAGCAAACACTACATTAATAAGTATAAAATTAGGAATATCTCAATATAGATAGTAATTGAATATGACAACATATTACTTGGTATTTGTATATAGATCTAAGGTTTTGTATATTAGTTTTCTACCAACAGCTATACAATCCAATACCTAAAGTATAAGTATACTGTCAAAATAAGTTTGATAGTACACTATCAAAAAATGTAAGTGAAAGAATTATAATGAAGGTGGATATGAAAATAATCAATTAGTTCTATTCAGTACCCAGGCCAATATACAGAAAATACTGAATTATGGGAATTCAGATTTCAACCAGATGTACACACTCCACAGATTCTCCTGATGAGTTTTTAAAAAATAGATGATGTTAAGTTCCCCCTTGGAGATTTTAAACTGTAAGGCCTGAAGCGCAGTTTGTGCTTCTGTATTTGTTTAAAATCTTTATTATGTGCTCCTGATGACCTTGGCTGAGGAAGAATCACCTAAATAGGAAAGTCATTAAAGAGGAGATTGGTGGAGAACACTCCATAAAGGGAGACTTCAGCTGTGCCTTGCAAGGTGGAGGGGCTTAAATAGAGAAGAAAAGAAAACTGCAAATCATTTACTATATGAGCAGAAACTGAGGCAGAAATGGGCAAAATATTGTTGGGGAGAAAAATACGTAGACCATTCTTCAAAGAATTCTGCAAATAAAGATGGTAGTGTCCACTGAATGAGGTAATTAAAAGGTAATTTTTTATTTTAAAAATACAATTCAGTAGAGGATTGACTCCAGATATAGGGGTGAGGAAATGAATGAGTGATGGGGAATCAAGGCAGTGGGTATTTAGAGCATTCATTTGAGAATATGGCCAGGGATAGAGAGTGGAAAATAAAATGGAATTTTAACTGGTAGAGAAGAATCAAGAGAATTTTTTTTTTTCCCTAAGAGAAAGAAGCCTCAACAAGTTTGCCAGCAGTGGAAAGAAATCCAATGGAGGAGAAAAGAGCAGATATTTTAGAGCTGGTAAAATTGGGATTTATATCTCCCAGATGTTTTTAATGTATTTAAGAACTAAAATAAATTACAGTGAAATTACATTCATGTAATTAAAATTCAAATCTGAGTAAATTTAATGGGAATGGGGATCACTGACAACTGAAAAGTCTCCAAAAAAGTTCAGGGCAGAAAGTGGACAATAAAGTCAAAGTTTCTGCCAACCCTACCCATTTTCTCCACTTGATCCTAGATCCACAGTCTTTGTGGAAGTAATTGAGAATAGATGGAATCACTGAACAGAAATCTTCAAGTAAGAAGATGTAGACAAGTACATATAATCTGAGCTGCAACTGGAGCCAAGTTGTGCCTCTGTTCTTGCCCATCCAAGCAGGTAATTGGTTGAGTGCTGGCTTTTGCCTCAAACCTCACTCACTAGTTTAACACCTCTTCCTCAGAAAAATCTCTTAAGGTTTATGTACTAATTACTCCAAAGCACAGAGAGAAAGAAAAAAGATTAACCTGGGCATACCAAGAAAATTGGCTTGAATAGATTACAATAACTATAATTTTTTTAAAAAGTGGTTTATCAACTCAGGATAGGATAGGTCAACAGCAACCACTCTTGATAATATAGAAAAAATCCTTAAGGTTATTCTGTTAAGCTAAAATGGACTCAAGTGGCTAAAAGAATATAGACAGATCTGTAAAGCACTTTCTCTCTCTCAAATGTGAGATGATGAGGGCCAGAGCCAAACTGCAAAGTTTTTAATTTTATATCATTGGATATAAAATTCTAAAATACAAGTATTAGAGTGCTGTTTTATTTTTTACAGGGTGGTTTTTAACTTGTATTATATCAAAGCACTATCAGGTTTTATTATTTCAGTTGACCCTCACAAAAGCCTTCTGCAGTTGAGAGAATAAAAGTTCTTTTCCCAGGCAATTCAAAGAGGTAACAGATTTAGAGCAGTTTAACAAGTTAGCTCATTGAACAAATGTCTGAGTGCCTACTATGTGCCAGTCACTATTCTAGTTAGGGATATGTATCTTGCTAATGCCTCAGCCAGAATGAGAGTTCTTGGTTTAGGATGTTGATGGAATCATAGCCACATTGCATTTATACATGACAGCTGTTCAGGAGGCTGCTTGCACACAAAGCCTAAAATGCAAGTCTCGGTAAATGTATATGCTGGAGTGTAGCAAAAAACAGAAGCCTTTTGGATATGACCTATAAAGGAAAGGCTTTTGTGTTTGACAAGTAGCATGTCTCATATATTTTTTATGGAGCAGGATGATATACACATTTTTTAAATACATTTGTATATGGATTAAAGGTTTAGGCATCTTAATTACATAACCCACAGGGTGCAAGGTATGTGTCAGCAACCATGATAAAACATATTTTATGGAGCAATTTTAAATTTAATAGCTGTATAGCTTGATTTCTTTGCATTCTCTAATTTGCAAGCAAATAGTTGCTTTATACCACAGTCATAGAGACATCACACAATGAGTTCTACTCCATAGGAGCTCAAAGAGTTCAAATAAAACTCTAAAGATTATTAAAAAAGAAAAATTATCTCAGTTTGGTCAAATCTTATTTTGAAACAGGTTCTGAAGTGAAATTTACAGTAATGTCATTTCCGGAATGTAAAAGCAGAAGTTATTTTCTAAGTTGTCTACCCAGTGTTTTTTTTTTTATAGAAATGATTCCTATATTTTTGAGAATTATGTCTTCCATACGTTCAAGTTTCAGATGGAGCCCAAGTCTTTTAACAAGTTTTTTAGGGTCTACTTGGCTTGATTATGTTATGTTGAAAACTCTAGGCATGTGCCTATATGCACCTACACACATATATCTAGTTCCCAATTTTAAAATTTTTAAACTGTATGTTTTTGGTCCTTATTATAGGGAGATTAACAACAACTAGATAAAATAGGGCACAAAAAGTGTCTCCTTCATATCAAGTCCCAATAATAGAAGCAAAACTCACACGTTTCGAGGTTTTTACATGGTGCTGTGAACACCGTTTCGATGGTCCCTGTCTACATAGCCTTCCCGCTCTGCCAGGATGAGGAGTCTTGCTATCCACATGCTGATGTGGTCAGACTAGTCAAGTGACTCTGCAGAAAAAGCACATTCCTTAGCCTACAGTATATATCTGCCCTCTGTTCTTGAATCATAGTTATTGGCTTTATGGGCCAAGACAAATAAGTCTTGAATCCTACAGCCGAGACCGGACACTAGCATCGGATGCATCGTAAACCCAACAGTCAAGGCGGCCCTACCGCAGGGTTTCTTAGTGGCGATGAGCTATAAAGGTAAAGCCTTTAAGAAGCGAAGCTTCATTCCGATTTAGGGTGGGTTAACCCCTCAAAGATGTTTCCTCCCTTCTCCCAATGGAAACCTCGGGACGGTTACTTGGGCCAGCCACCTCTTATTTGCAACGGAGGCTATTCTCAGATGAAACACTGAGCCCAGGCGGTCAATGGCCTGCTTCTAAATTCACATCCCTCAGTCCTGTGCTCCACTCGGAAAGCCCAGAAACTACCGGTCCTTAATCCATTCAGTCAATAGCGCCAAACATTGGAAGCTAGAGACAAGAAGGCACCAGAGGGAGAGTTTCCCGCCTCTTCTAGTCAGCGCGCTTAACTCAAAACGACACTCTGGCTCTTCGGGGGCCGTGACGCGTGCTCTACTATCCCCCACCAGCCAGGCTGCGACAGCTGCCCGCCGGCCCCTCCGCGGAGCTGAGCGGGGTCGCCAGCGGGCAAAGGCTGGCGAAGGAGGAAGAAACGCGGGAGGCGCGCTCTGCGCAGGCGCTCGGCGTCCCGCCTCTCCCGGCGTCGGCTCGCGGGCGGCCGGCGCGGGCCCTCCCACTCTCACCCGCGCCGCCTGACGGCTCCCGCCCTCGCTTCACCCCGACGCCCGGCGTGCGCGTCCTCCCGCTGGCCTGCAGGCCCGGGGCCTCAGCCTGCTTCCCAGCCGCTGCTCCTCGCAGCCCCGGCTCGCGTTCACGCTGTCGCCCGGGCCGGCGCGGCCGCGGGCAACCGCTCCCCCTCCCACACCCACCCCGCCCCCTCCCCGCCTTTTCCGCCCTCCCGTCCCACTCCCTCGGCCCGTCGCCGCCGCCGCTGCTCCAGATGAGGTGATGGCAACGGCCAACTTCGGCAAGATCCAGATCGGGATTTACGTGGAGATCAAGCGGAGCGATGGTGAGCTGCGCCGTCGCCCCTGCCGGCTGGGCCCCGCATCGGATGTGCATGGAGGGGAGGCGGGCGCCGGCCGCCTCATTGACTGCTCCGCCGGGCTGTGGGGGCGGAAAGGCGGCGGCCGCGGCGCTTTTGTGTGTGGCGTGTGTGCGAGTGAGGCCGGCGTGGGGTCTGCCTGGCGTCGTTGCAGTGCCGCAGGCGGGGAGGACCCTGCGGGGCTGGGCCGGGAAGAGGCCGGCGGGGAGGGCCCTGGTGGCGCGGGCCTCGTGTCGGGGGGCTTCGGACGGCGCGGGGGAGGGCCCGGGCCGGCGGCCTCTCGCTCCTCCCGTGGTCTCCATCCTCCCGGGAGCGGGGGCGGCGGACTGGGTTCGGGTGACCCAGCCTCATGTTTCACCCCGGCCTTTTCATCTTCTGGCCTCATCTTTGAGGCAGTGGGGGCGGGGAGAGCATGGAGACCAGTGATTTCAGTATTTAGAGAACCGACTGCTGGTCAGAGACCGAGGTGGGGAGAATAGGCCAGCCCGTGGGCTTAAACTGCTGTCTTGTCGTCAGGCTGCTTGGGCTTCCGTTTCTTCAGCATGCCTCTTTCTTTATTACTACTCCCTTATAGGGATGCGGAGTGTCCTGCTCAGCCATGAATAAGGGTGAGGGGAGCAGTGGGAAGAGGTCCTCCGTGAGCCTCTCAAAGGTGATGAGCCCGAAAGGGAAGGAGAGGGGATGAGCCCAGTCACGGCGGGCTCCGCTGGGGGGAGGGGACCGGAAGTTGATATTTTTCACACTCTCCGGAGAGGTAACAGAGAAAACTCTACGGTGAGGCAAAGACATGCTTAATTTGAAAAAAAAAGCCTTAGGCTTATGTTTCTTTCTATAGGTTCTTTTTGGGGAAAATACTGTTTATGTCAGTGTTTTGGGGTACGGAGTGAGACGCCAGCCAGGCTTGGAAATAAATCATATCGTAAAAGAGAAAGCGCATGAAGGGAGATTAGTGAAATTTTCTTTAAATCTGAATATTGAAAGAACTAGGGGTGTGTAATATATGGAGGTGTGCAGTGTTTTTGACTCCATCTTCCTCATATACTTACCTTTTATTCATGGCTTAGTTGTTATCCTATAACCTAGTTAGTAGTAACTCGCTATCACATCCACACCCTCTTGGTTTCTAACAACTGTGACTAAGTTATATGAAGCTAGTTTGACATTCATATGATCTGTATGGTGTGTTGGAAGACCCTGTATAGCTAGTGATTTTTTTCCTATATTACATTTGAGATCAGCTGTGTTAACTGGAAGAATCATTATCCTATATGTGAATAGACAAGTTATACCACTTAGAGCTTTAGAAGTCACCCATAACACTAGTGGGAAAGAGGTGTCTCTTTTACTTGGATTGGGGTTTCTTTATATATATATGTTCTCTTTTATATATATAGTTACATATTTTTGTATTACTCTCCTTAAACAGTGCTGTGTCATTTCTCTTACATGAATGCAGGTTCACTGTGTATGAGCAAAAATAGAATTTGCATATAATTTTAAATTTTGGTGTGCAATAAAATGTAAGTTCTTCACATTCTAAGCATTTAAGTATGATTTTAGGTGTTACTGTAAAATCTATTGGATAGAAAGCAGTATCATACGACATTTGTAAGGTTTATGTGTATATTTTTTCTGGACTAACATCTTTTTTTTTTTTTAACACGTATTGGACTTGAAACAATTTTGGTTCTTTTAGGGTTCTAAGATAGAGGCTTTTAATTCTTTTTTCAGTTTTCACCTGCCTGTATCAGAAACCCAGACGTGAAAGAGTATGGTGTTCTTACATAAGTGCTAGTAAACTAAAATCACATTTCAAAGCAGTTTGCCCATGAGAAATAATGGAAATTGTTACAAGGTGTAATATTCTAACCTATAGTCTTATACATACTTATATGCCCCAGATGCATAATGGAGTTGGTAGAAGGTAAAAAAAATAACTTGCAAAGAGAGTGACCATTTACATGTCTGGTGGTGTTTCACAGTAGAAATTGGTGTCTGGGAGACTCCCCTCAAGCTTTCCCTTTTTCACTTTAAAGAACCTGTTTTGTTTCCCCCCACTTCTATAGCAGAGCTGAATTGGATAGAACACTAGTGGTTCTTGTAACAGAAATAAACTTCGTAGTTGGATGAGTGAGCACTAATGTAATGCCTGAGACACTGGAAATCACCATCAGTCGAGAAGGGCTGCTCCAGACAGCTCTTAACTGGTGACTTGAAGTTCTGCATGCTTGCTAATGGTGATCCTTTTCCTTGTTTCAGAGCATGCTTCTCCTATCGGTGATACTCATATATTAATAAAATGTATTCCAAGGGCAAACAGTAAACTAAAATAGATTTATTATCACGATCCTACTCAAAACTATTTCTAGAAAGTCTTCACTGATTACTAAAATCAGATGGCCAGTCAGCCTCTGAATTCCTAAGTCATTCTGTATCACTCATTAGAAAGCATATTTCCCTAAGTATTAATATTTGGACATATTTCTCTTAGTATTGTATTTTCAAACCACAATGGAGAAGGGGTGGTGTGGAGAATGCCATTGAGGGATGACAGGATACACCCATACCTTCTATCCAGAGTCAGGGTGTTAACTGGGTTAAAATAAAAAAATTCCCTGAATTCATCTATCTGTCTGTCTTCCCATGTACTTGTCAGAGTTCCTTTCATAGTTTTTTGAGTTAATCATTCATTATTGGATTTTTGTTTTTCAAACTTTAATTAACGAGTCAGATGAAATCTTACTTGGAAGTGAAAGCCTTCCATCTATGCTCATCCTGTGTTGCCAACTCTCTGGTCTGGCCCCTGACTCCACATACAGGCCTCTTAGTTCAAGATTACCAGAGTTGACTGAAATTGAGTGATATGCCAAGGCTAATCTGACGTTTCTGGTTTTTTAAGGTTAAAAGTGACAGAGGTTAGGATTGGACTGCTGAGGTGGTTCCCAGCCACAGGGCATAACCTGGTATGAAATCAGACTGTTTTCTGGAAATGGATGCTCATGCATAATTTCTTGCATATCTTTTCCTGTTTCTTCCTGATTAAATTCCTTTTCAAAATCCAGTTACTCTAAAAACTACAACCATACAATTTTGTAGCCAGATAGTCTTTATTGGGAAATTTTAAAACTGTAAAGACATTTCTTACATGTTCTGCAGTAGTCATGACTACCCTTTGGGGGCTAGAGAAAGGATGAGAAATATTTTGAATATTTGGAAGCTGCAACTATAATGGGATTCTTCTTTGAGGTCTCTTAGTTACAGTATTGATATAGGTGATCTGAAGAGAATCATAGACTGTTTCAACCAGAAAGATCCTTGGAGTTAATCTAGTTCTCATTTTTGTTAATGTGGAAACCAGGTCCCAAGTCACTATCAGTGACTTGTCTAGATTCGTATAGCTTGTCAGTGGCAACCAGGAACCTGTCTTGCACTGTGAGAACTCTGACAACAAAGGGAGAATTTTGTTACTTAGGAACCGTATACATACAGCTATCTACAGCCTAGTCAAGATACAGGAAATTACTTTACACTTCTGGGAAAGCCTCCAGGGAGCAGTGTTTTAGAGCCCAGTTGGAATGATCAGGTAAACAGTGATACAGTATAGTTACTAAAGGTCACAAAACCCGAAACTGGAGGAGGAAAACACTTACGTTTCTTAATTAAACATTGGTGAAAAGAGTGCTTTAATTAAACATCTAAGATCCAGAGGAAATTGAAGATTTCAAAGGACATGGAAGGAATCTTGGGGTTTAGGACAGGCAACCTTTAGGAAAGATTTTAAATGGCCCGATTCTTTCTTTACTTTGCCACAGGTATTCTGCTAGTTCATCTATACATGTCATCATATTAGGCTTTTGAAGAACAGATAAAGTGAATCTAGGTAATAAAAATGAACCACATAGCAATATAGTTGTTCTTTAGTACAGTTAGTTGTGTGACTGATTATAGAGTGGGTGAAATGGAGGAATTTGTGAATTAATATGGCAACTAGCATGATAATGGTTCTTTATATGTTTGTTAGGCTTTCATAGTTTTCCAAACAGGTTATTTAATTGTGTCCTTACAAGAAACCCTATGAAGTAATAAAACTAGGGTTGGAAGGTGGGAGATCTCATTTTACAGGTGAAGATTCTGAGGTTGGTTTATTTGCCAAGATTACATTGTTAATAAGGCCTACAGCCTGGGCTAAAGCCTAAGTCTTTCACTTCTAGCTCTCTAAGTTGTGGCAGATGTTTGCTGGTTGATGGTATGAAGTTGTATACCTTGATATTTTTTTTTTTTTAGATATAAAACCCCCTGTAGTAAAATTCTTTTCTACTACCACCAAAAAAGCCCAGAAAACCTGCAACTGGTAACAGTACTTAAATTTTCCAAATTAGTGAGATCAAATTGAAGTCCAACGTTTTATTAAGTATATAAGGATTGAAACTGAGCAAACTAAGGCTTTAGTGCCCTTTTCTATAGTCAGTCATTTTTTGCTTCCAGAATGACCTCAGAAAGCCAGGAAACTATTTTTGTTGCCCTGTCACTTGATTCTTTTGACAAAAATTTCAGAGCTCTAGGGAAAGACTGTGTGTTAACTTGATTTGTGTGTCATAATTTAAAAAAATATAAAGAAAATTGCAAAGAGCCAGTTTAGCCTGTGTCTGATTGAATAGGGAATTCCGGAAGCATGAGTGTTGAAAATCCAAAACAGGATTCCTTGGGAGATCATCTGGATCTATTCTTTATAGTCACAGGTATACTTGTCATTAATATTACATTAATCTTTTGCAAAGCTTAATTTTTTTATTCAGTTGCCCACTTTGCTTGTAATACCTCTGACCTATAACCTGAAATAATCTTTTAGAGTGTTTTTCTTTTTTGAGATCATAGTTCTGAATTTAGGATTAGATGTAATTTTTAAGCCTTGGGTAAACTACTTTTCATCCTTCTGGTCCAGTTGTGGAGCAACTATAGGTTACCTT